CCTGGCAAGCACAGAGCCCTGAGTTCAATCCCTGGTTCCGCAAAAAAATAAATAAATAAAAATTATTATAGTAAAAGACACATTGCCATTGACCCTCTTCAGAGTACTCCCCTTCATTTCAAGCACACCCATCGCAGCACTTTCTGAAGCAATTCCGGAAGTCCTCTTTTGTGTCTTTGAAGCTATGTTCAAAAATACATCAAATGCTGCTGCTGATTGCCCTCCAGCAGAAACACAGGCTCATAAAAACATCCCAGTGCGTCCTCATCCATCTTCTCCACTCGATCTGGCACCACATGACTTCTGGCTCTTCCCCAAAGTCAAAATGACCATGAAAGGTAAACATTTGAATTGATTCAAGACTTCAAGACAGCTACAGTGATACAACTAAAAACAACTTCCAGAACTGCTTCAGACAGTGGCAAGAACAATAGGATATATATATTCAAAGAAAGGGGGAGTATTTTGAGGGTAATTAGTGGTAATGTATCTTTTACTGTAATAATAAATCTTTTTAAATTTAAACATTCACTGTAGTTTTCAATCACAGCTCATATAGTAAGTACAGTTGGCTTTGTAAGAAACTGTCTCCCAAAGTGCTTGTCCTGTTTTTGTATTCTCACCAGCAGTGAATAAGACTTACTGTCATTCCACATCCTCGTCAGCCTTTGATGTTAGTGTTCTTGATTTTCACCATTCTAATAGTTGCATAGTAGTATTTCGCTGACATTTTAATTTGCAGCTTTCTTATGACACAATGTGGTGTCATGTTTTTGTGCCTGTTTGCCATCTCTAATTCTTCTTTGGTAAGCTGTCTCTTCAGATGTTTCTGAGACAAGGTCTCAATACATAGCTCAGGCTGGCTTTCAGCTCAATAAGTGTGTAGCTCAGGGTGGTCTTAAACTCTTGGCAATCCTCCTGCCTTAGCCTCCCTTCCCCATATTTTAATTGACTCATTACATCCTGTGCATATCTCTTTGTCAGCCCTTTTTTCACCCCCTCTGGTACCAAGTATCAAACTAGTGATCTTGTGCTTGCCTGGCAGGCACTTATGATGCCACTGAGCTATATCCCTGGCCTGTCAGCCTTGACTATTGAATTTTGTACTTGCATTTTGACTTTTGGTAACTTGATCAGTAAGGTCACCTATAGAGAGCCTTCTTGGTCCTTGTCTAGGTCCGGAAAGTTCATACTTGTAATCCCATGGATAAATTATTGGATTCTCATCAAGCTAATTTCAATCTACCACTTCCAGTGCAATCTATGGCAAAAATAAAGACACTAAAGTGTATTTATAGTTATGGGGAGCCAAGGGGTCCTAAGTCCAGCCATGGCGATGGCTATCCAGAGCAAAGGCCTCGACTGAGGGCCAAACCCAGGTTTTATTCAGTCATGAAGGAGGAGTGCCTTGAGGATGAATGACTGAAAATGGCAGGAAGTAGGTGAGTGCTGTGAGCTGGGCTAGGTAGGAGGCCTGCATTTACCTCCGCGATACACAGAGAGAAGGATATGCAGAGTAGCCTGCACTGCACAACCGAGATAGTATCTAATGATTTGGGGTAAGTGCTTCAGCTCTGAGCATTGGCTCTTTGTCCTGTCTCTTCCCAGCACGTATTGAAGAGCAGCAGGTGGGGGTTCCAGGGAAACATGTGCCGTCTTCAAAGACTACCACCAGCACCTTGGCTAGACCAATATGCATTGCTTAAAGCTGATTGAAGGAATAAGGAAAAGTCCTCGCCAGCTCCGTACATATCAGTACAAGGAAATAGGGTCAGGCTCAGCCAAAATGGAGACGATTGCTCTTCTTTCAAGGAGAGTCAGCTAGGTGGTCCTCCATAGTCACCATTATTCTTTCCTGTTCTTTAATTACTGAAAGTCAAGCTTTTTTAAAAATTACTTATTTATTGTGGGGTTTTCTTGTGTGTGTTTTTTACTTATGTGAATTCACATTATACTATTTGTCCAGCAGAAATTTTAAACATCTTTCTTTTTTTATTATTTTTTTTTTTTTCAGAGAAGAGGCACTAGGCCTGCATGTTTATTTACAAACATATCTAGTATGCCACATGAATTTAAGAGTTTGATCTGTTTCTGAAGAGCTTCACCTCTTGAGAAATTCTGTCCATCTGCGAAAGGGGATGAATTAAAACATCCTTATTTCTTAAGCAGTTGGTGTCTCACTATAAAGAAAGGTGCTGCAAAACCAGATCCAAAGTACAAGGTCATCATGGCCAGCAACCGCCATTTGTTTTCCACAGAAAACGGCAAATTCTTCCCGGGGCCCTCCTCGTAGTGGCTGCGCCGCACCACGGAGGTTGTGAACCTCCGGATGCTCTGCCCCAACATGGTGCTGGAGGAAGCTCTGCGAAGGGGAAAGAAAGAGGCGCAAAGCCCAAACCTGCCCTCACTCACGACCTTGTCCTTCCTCTTTTTTTATTATTGATACAAGGTCTCACTGCGCAGCTTGGACTCACAGGGATCTTCCTGCCTCAGCCTCCCAGCACTGGGATTATAGGAGGGCACTACCATACCTGGTTTTAGGGCTGGCATGGTGCCCATGGGGTTCCAGGGCCAGTATGGCATGCGGTACCTGGGATCGAACCTGGGTCCTTGTGCTTGCCAGGCAGGTGCTTAGACCACCGAGCTATCTCCCCAGGTGTAGGAATTTGATATGATTTTTAGAACTTTGTATGTCTTTGTGTTTTTGATATTTATTGTTTTCCTATTTTCTGTTTTGTTTTTTATGTATTTAGTACACGGTCTCACTATGTAGATCGGACTCAGTGATGCTCCTGTTTTCAGCCTCCCAAGTGCTGGGATTACAGCCGTGTACCACCATACCCAGTCTCGATCGCTGTCTCAGGGTGCCCTGGGGGCAGGGCTAGCACAGCACCCTGGGGCTTGAACCCTGGCCGCTGCTCTCTACCTAAGCAGGTGCTTTAGTCCCCTGAGCTATCTGGGCAGCCCACTTTCCTGTTTTTTTTTAAATCAGCTCTTCATTTGATTTTCTTTTACTTGAAAACTCCAAAATTTCTCCTCCTAGCTAGAATCCAGTTATTGTTCCATTTTGATGAACTAATGAAATAAAAACTGAACCTTTTTGTTGGAGGCAGTACTTTTAACATTTAGCCGTAATGACCCTGCCCCTCCTTGGGCTGACAGGGTGTTTCCTTCTCAGACAGCTCGCCCCAGGCCTGTGGGGACCCCACACAAAAGTGCAAAAACCATTCAGACTGACCTGCATCCTGTCTGTGCCCCTGTGCTTCTTGGTGCCCCGCTTCCCCTTAGGGTGGTCCTTCCGCAGTGCCTCAGTTCCAGACTTCCCATTAACTAAAGGTGGATTGGAAGTCCAGGCGTGATTTCCATATTGAGTGTTTATAAACAGAGGTGTTAAAATTCACTTGAATATATGGCTGAAAATTAGATTTTTTAGTTATTTGTTTTAGTTTAAATGAATTCTGTTCTGTAATAATGGGGATCTGTATTTTCATTGCCCTTTTGGGGTTAGGAATTATCCACTTTGCCTAATTATTCCCTTTTCTGTGACTAATTCACATCTATAGAGTTGCAGTAGCCAAATAGGAACCATACTAAAAGTATGATTTAGGCCTTTAAAATCATTGTGCTTTTTGCAAAGAGATATTTAGCTGATGTTTTACATTTGTGTTCTGTGAATGCAAGTTTCTGTTTTTAATTTCCTGTTTTCTCCTCAGTGTTTAGAAACCCACAGAACTAAGCTTTTTCGCTAGGGTTTTGTGTGTGTGCGCATTGAAGTCTTTTTCTATAATAACAAATACTGAATCACCACACTGCAGCTTTCCCAGATCCAGTTCTGATTTGCTCACTGCTTGTCTTGTCAGCCTTCACCCCTCCCTACGTAGTGCTTCTTTGCCATCTATGAGAAGTTTTCCGTGTTTGAAAATAAGGCATTTTCTGCATAAAAATTGTCATAACTTCTTTTTCTAGTCAAAGCTGAACATTCTTCTCTTTCCAGGCAAGTGTATGTGTCTGTTTGTTTTTTGGCGTCAAGCACAGTTGCCCTCCAGGCTGCTGAGGCAGCAGAGTACAGAGAGCCTTGTTCTGGGTCCAGGGAGTTCTGCCTGGCAGGGGGTGAGGAATAGTGAACAGGTGTCTGTGGTCACCACGCCGCACTTGGGCGTGGATCAGATTAGACCTCAGCCATGTGGCGAAGCTGAAAAACACAAATACGTGCTGGGCTTTAGTTTCCTGTCTTTCACATCCCTTATTTTTCTGCATTGAGGAAGTAGTTTAAATGCATCTTATTTTGTAGACAGATTCAAAGCATCAAAAAGTTTTTTTCATGTTACCTGTTGCCAATAATCACAAATCATGTTTTTATAGTAGGAAATATATTGATATATTTTAAAGTCACAGGGTTGTTCCCTGCAGTAGAACCAAAAGGGGGTTAAGGTCATTAAAAAACAACAACAAAACCACACACACACACACACACACACATACAGCAGACACCTGGTTGAAAGACATTCTAAGAAAATCAGGCGTGGTCCTTTTTCAGCCTTCTGTCGTCACCCTTATTGTCTTTCCCCCTCCCCTAGTCTAGCTGTCCTCTTACCCAGCTCAGGGCATTGTAGAGCTGGCAACTCATACCACAATAAAGAGAAGACAGAAGAGTTATCCCCCCAGCTACCTTCTTGGGAGTTATGAATCTGAAAAGACCAAGGCAGGCAGGAACTGCTCAGATGCATACCTGAGGCATGACAGGCCCCTCTGGCTCTGTCCCTGTCACTGCTGGTGGTTGCCAGTAAGCCCTCACTTCAAGAAGGGAAGAGAAGGGGAGGGGGCTGGGGAGATGGCTTAGTAGAATAAGCGCTTGCCTGGCAAGCACAGAGCCCTGAGTTCAATCCCTGGTTCTGCCAAAAGAAAAAAAAAAAAAGAAGAAGAGAAGGGGAGAGAGATGGCATTCAGGACTCTGACCTGTGCCTGCCAGCCATGAAACACCCTCATCGCCTGTGGCCAGGCAGCCTTAGAGATCAGGGGAAACTAGAGAGCAGCTGTGGACTGTTTGAAAGTTCTGTATTACGAGGTTTAAGGAGGAAAAGTGAGTGAGTCGGGCTGTTTAGACCCATGCTGAGAAGTGGAGATTTGTTTTCTCTGAGCCTAGGAATGGTTATTTTGGGCAGTGTGGCCACTGGCTATTCCCTCTTCCCATTGTAGGCAGACCAAAAAAGACAGAGTTGAGTTCTGTGGATGTGGTAGAAGCTAAGCAACCTGTGATCAAGTGTTTCTGAGTGCTGACAGTGCCTTGGTCACCGCGGATTAGCAGAAGGAAGAAACAGGCCAGAGTCTGAGACGTCCAGATGCTGGGGCAGCCAGCGCGCCTTTGACTCTGGCTTCAGCACTTGGTAGGTTTGGGACCTTGGCCTTAGCAACCTCATCTGTAAGAAGGAATAGTGCCTCTGCTTCCTTGTGCAGTTATTTTTAAGATTAAGAGTATTGAAGGGCCTGAGGGGAGAGCTCAGTAGAATAAATGCTTGCCTGGCAAGCGCAAGGGCCTGAATTCAATCCCCAATTCCACCAAAAAAAAAAGTGCTGAGCAGTGGCTGGCACACACCAAGGAGGGCCTGCGTGATGTCGTTAGCATGAGCAGTGGAAAGGATCATGGGGCCATCAAGCTGCAGCTTCCTTAATAAGGAAGCTTCCTTGTTAATCTGGGCTATAGTCACCATTCCTGGCTACATTTTAGGAATACACAGACCTCAAAAGCATTTCCCCTTGGGGTGCTGTACTTTTTTCTTCAGAACCAGTATTTCCAGAATACTTCCTGCATGGAAGCACCAGTGTGCCTTCATTTAATCCTCACAGCACCCTGGGAAGCAGGTGCCACTTTTGTACCTATCTCTAGCATCAGAGGCACACAGCTGTTCTTACACTTGCCCCAAAGCGCACAGCTTCTAAGCGATCGAGCCTGGATTGGAACAAGACTGTCTGATACCAGAGCACACAGGCTACTGAAACTGCCCCTGCTCGCAGGGCCCAGTCCTAAGGGCTTGAGGCTATTTTTCAGTCCTTTTTTTGTTGATGTCTTTTTTTTCAGTACTGGGGTTTGAACCAAGGGCCCCACACATGCTAGGCAAGCACTCTGCCACTGAGCTATATCCTAGGCCTCTTTATTTTTAAATGACACAAGGTGGTCTCACTAAGTTGCTCTGGCCAGCCTCAAACTTGTGATCTGCCTGCCTGCCTGGCCTCAAAGCTGGATCTGCCTGCCTCAGCCTCCCAAGTACACAGTGCCTTTCAACCTACAGCTTGCTTTGTTTGTAGACGGACTCATCTCTTACATGTCCTTATTTCTGACACAATGTGATTGCATTGAAACGGTTGACAAAAGAATCTCTCTCCCTGATTTTAAAGAGAATGAAGTGTGAGGGCCATAGAGCAGACCAAGAGAAATAAGGGCCAGAGCTTTTTTTTTTTTTTTTTTTTTTTTTTAAAGGGTTCTTTTTTATTTCAGAGGAAAGGTAATTACAAAAGAAAAACCATTGTCATGATTTTCCCTGACTCAGGAAGTGATCTGGTGTGATGTGGAGAGCGTCAGGGTGTCTTGGGGTTCTCAGAGGGACATCTTGTGATAGTCCTGCTGGGGCTACCGCTTGCTCAGTGGTTCCATCTCATGGAGGAAGGACCTGTCAAGGTGGCTGATCAGGCTTCTAAAGAGGGTCTGAGAGGTCTCCGAAGGATGTTTTACCTCTGATCATGTTACAAGTTTTGTTGGTTTTTTTCTTTCCGGAACTGGGGATTGAACTCATGCTCTTGCGCTTGCCGGGGAAGCGCTTCCTCCACTGAGCCATCTCCCCAGTCCCTTTTTTTAATTTTTTTTTTTTTTTTTTTTTTTTTTTGGTGGAACCAGGGATTGAACTCAGGTCGTTGTGTTTGTCAGGCAAGCACTTATTCTACTGAGCCATCTCCCCAGCCCCAGAAGTTGGGTTAGGTTTCAGAATTCCCACCTTGACCAATAGCAGCTTACCTTTTATCCTGTAATATTCTAGAATTCTTTTTTTTTTTTTTTTTTGGTGGAACTGGGGATTGAACTCAGGCCTTTGCGCTTGCCAGGGAAGCACTTATTCCACTAAGCCATCCCCCTCACCCTTATCTTGCAATATTCTAATGACAACTTTGGACTCCCTGTATTCTGAAAAATTCAGACTTAGATACCAAAAAGGTGATTTTTCAGGTGATTTGGGGGACTCCCAGCTTCAAAGGACCTTTGTATGTGGCAGTGTAATAGACAACTTGAGCACACACTAGATCAGATGGCCTGGGTACAAAGCCACCTCTCACACTCACTGGCTTGGCAGTCTTAAGCAAGTTACTTGAGCTTAGAAGAACTTAACTATAAAGTAGGAGAAATACTGTAATGACATTGAAGAATAAAGCTGTT